AAAAAAAAAAGAGTTCACGCGAGCAGGAAGTGGGTCGGGGTGTCCAATGCGGGAGGACGGTCCGATGTTACGTCAGCCATCTTGAGGTGACGAGTTTTGGCTCTTTCAAGGAGGGTAGGATGGCATTCACTCAGTCAGTCGGGACCTGGTCTCGGTTTGCGGGTGGGCGTTGGGATCACGTCTCTTCGCGGACCCAAATTTGCTGCCCTCCAGCACAAGCTAAGCTCGCTGATCGGGCTTGTTCATACAGTAGGTTTGATGTTTGCGGCGTGTTCACATTTGCTTTCCCAGGCCTTTCTTTCCCCCACCGAGCGAAACTCATGCCGTTATAAAGAGACAGCTGTTGAGGTTTACAGCTCTAAAGGGGGCTGCTTTTTCCTCCTTGAAATGAGCCTCTCTGCTTCGTATTATTCGAGCGCGTTTGCCAGAACCTAAATTCACTGTCCGTGAGCTGCCAATAACTCAATCCAGTTGTCGGAGAGGAGCGCGTCTGCGTCGAGCTCGACCCAAGCGTCGTTCCTCACCAATCTGATGCGGAGCGCCCTTCGCGGCTCATCATCTTTGGAGCCTGCCGCGATATTGTTCGACATGCCGTAACGAGATACCTGATGGAAGCGCTTGCTTTTTGAGCGACTCGTGTCAAAAACAGAGCCTCCTCCCAAACGTAGCCCCAAAAGTGTGGCTTTGAGTCGCTTCCCGCTCGGCAAATCGCATGCTGCTTCTCACGTTTAGCGCTGCGTTTTGTGTCAAAGTTTGCATTCCTGTCATATTAAAACGTTCTCGGGCAGATGTTTTCTTTTCTTTTTTTTTTCCTGGGGCGGTGCTGAAAGTGAGTGATTAACAATTGTGGTACCATACATAGTTGTGATGAATTTCCATACGAGTTAGGCACGGTTGATTTGAAACCGTATGCCCGCTGTGTCTCCGCCAGACAATTAAAAAAAAAACGAAATGGGGCTCTAGACTGAGAGCAATTTGGGCGCTCGGCACCCCAATTTCTCACTGGTAGGCCCCAAAAAAAAAAGGGGTTGCGCAACAGTGGCAGGCAGCCTTTTGAAGGACAGGGCGGGGACACAACAAAGTGATGAGTGATCACTCGTGAAATCAAGAGGTAAAGGCAGTCGCTCGTTGAGCAACTTTAGCGAGAGCCGTTAATTTTCAAAAGAGATTTGTTCAAAAGAAAATGCAAGACGTCAATGCTGTTAAAAGTGAGGCCGTTTGCAATTTTCCCAACATTTTTTTTGATTCCGCGAGTGTGTACCAGTGTACAAATTCGCAACAGTCAACAAACAGCGACTTTGCTTGGACGGGCAGGATGCAGTTCAAATAATTTGGACTTTGAAACTCATGACCCGCGGCTGTGGTGGACCCCCCGCTCACCAGGAGCTCGAATACCGTCGCACGCTGACGCGTGTGTTCCCGTCAGCCTTAGTGAGCTTGTGGGATCTTCTTAGTCCACGTTGACCCATTTACACAGCGAGCCTCCCTCCCGGCGGGACTCGGGCAGACATTTGCCACAAAATGGAGGCCATTGACCCACAACACCAGCGATGCAAAGAGAAAGGAGAAAGCCATCACAATTTCCAAGCGCGGGGGGTGTACGCGTTGACGCCGGACAATGTGAAGATTGGCATGGTGTCAGTTTTTGTGCTCTGCATTCGAGAGCGAGAGAAAGCGTTTGCACTCCATCCCATCAGTGAACCGAGCGGGCGTTTTCACCTCCAACGTGCCGTCTTCCCTCTCAACTCATTAGCTCGCACGCCACGTGTGCGTGTTGCGAGGAAGGCCGTGCCTTTTCACAAGTGAAGGCAATGACTCACCGAGCCCTCTCGTATTGTAAACACGAGAGTTCCTGGATGCACCGAAGGGCTCCCAGGAAGTCCAGGATGCCCGCGTCTCGTGCGAGCGCCATCCCTCATCTCGAAGCCGTCGCCACCCTGCGCTCGACCTGACGAATTTCACCCCTGTCACGTCCGCGTGCCGCTGAGCCGCAGGGAGACGAAGAATGCGCAAAGCGTTCCGACGTGGCTGGCCAGGAGCCACTGACAGCTGTTTTAGCACTTGGGCGGGACCTCCGGGACACCCGTTTGCGCTGCGCGAGCTGTTCATATGCGCCCATTGCTCTTTGGACGTTGCGCCGTTCAAGGCCAACTCACGAGCGCATTCGGAGCGGCGGCATTCCAGATGCTCGAGCTCCGAAGCGCCTGCCGGCCTCATCCATGCGCTGAGAGCATTTTTTTTTTCCATGACCTCTTTGGAACAACATCAATGTTGTAGGCAATGTCGAATACTTGGGCTCCAACTTGGTGCGGAGAGATATTCACTTGAGTACGAGTTCAATTGAGTGGGCCAAGAGCGTCAGCTTGGGTGGGGCGGCTGAGAGGGAGTGAGAAGAGATTTGGAAAGCTCCACAATTAAAGTGGATCTCTTTGAAATCCTGCGCCGGGCCGGGCTCGGCCACTTCATTCAAGCTTTCCGCTCCCTGCGGACCGATGATCTGATCAGGAGGGGAAGTGAAGTTTACACTGATGAGAACTGCCCTGAATGATGTCGCTGACACACAAGTGAGGGCGGGGGGCGGCGGGGGGGGTGACTCTGATGACCTCGGTGACCAAAGAGAACACACAGACACACACACAACTGTAATGACTTCCCGATTGAGAAACAAGGAGGGGAGCCAGCTGCTGGTGACATTTGGAGTCCCGTGGATCTCCTTGCCACATTGCTTCTGGAACAAATGGCAATCCAAGAGTCAATGTGAAATACTTACTCTTCCGTAGAAATCAAGCGCACAGTTGAAACTGTGGTTGTGCTATGGCAATTTTAAGGACAACCACTTGACATTACTTAGATGAGCAATTTCCCCCATTTGTTTTTTTTTTTTTTTTCATTTTTTTAACTAACATATTAACATTTGATTGTAAAAATATTTTATGGTGAGTTCGAGAAAAAATGCATCAATTGAGCTTGAAAAAAAAACATGTCAACATACATTTTGGTAGCGAGTGATTGCGGTTTTCGGACATGAGGCGACGTTTCATTTGCCTTCGTGACGCGTTTAGACTGTCCGTGTCATCACCAATCCATGGCAACCGAGGAGGGACATCTTCCATTGCGGTCAGCGACCAAAGAACCATTTGAACCCGTGTCATCAAAGAAACCGCGGGAGCCAACAAAGTTGCGGACATCTAAAACGAAAAGCAAGTTTATTTGCTTTGACATCTTTTGATTTCTGCCGCAAACACCCATTGAGCAGGAAATAAGATGTCGGACGTGGCCGTTGTATTTTCCCTCCAAAATGAGCAAATACGATTCAATACATTGAGTTCGAATGCCACGATACGATCCAAAGCCGCGGTTCCGTATGAATCCGGCAAGTGAACAAATGAGCTAGGCGACTTCCCAAACGGCGTCAATGTACTCACTCCGTCGAGATGGCGTCCACGCGTTTGACCCGTAAACGCCTCCTACTTGCCAGCCGTTGTTAAATGTGCGGGAATGCTCGACGGCCTACGAGTAAACGTCGCTGTCGAGAGAGCACCGCTCGCGAGGTAGCCCGCTACTCCATCCGGATCATCCAGACCCTCCGTCGGGATTAGCGTGTGCGTGCGTGGACGCTTGTCGGGTCGGCGGTGCTGCAGAAGAGCCCGCTCTTTGATCCTTCAAATAACAAAGCACCTCCAAAGGCGCGCACCCAGGCTGTATTGTCCCACCGCCGAAGGGGCTACGCTAGCCGGTAAAGTCACGAGCACGATCCCCTCTCAATCCCTTTTCCAGCACGTGATAACCCGAAGCACTCCCGTATATGGCTCCGCCGCTCGCCGCTTTGCATTTTCGATGAAGTCCCCCTGCCATGCTCAAATGAAGTCGGCGGTCGCCCGAGGACAGACAGCTCTTTTCTCCTTGGCCCCCTACTTTACTGTCACGGTTACCGAGTTAAGCCCAAACTTTTGAAAGTGCGTTCTTCTCCCTCGATTTGAATTCCTGATGAAGAATTCCTTCAAGCCCGGTGTGATCTCACGGGCTGATTGAAACAACGCTCACACACACACAGCGCGGTAGCGTACAGTGGGCACCTGCGAGCCAAATGTGACGCGAGACCACCCTCGTGTCCAGCGGACGGGAGTGGCTTGTGCAAAAGTGTACCTTGGCCGCTCTGAGCCCGCCCCTCGCTGGGGCAGACTCGCGGCACGCTCGCTCACACACACTCGGTGGAGCGGAGCGGAGCTTTCGGGAGCGGGCCCCCCCTCTGTGCAGTATGCATGTTGGCCTGGAAACTTGCGGAGCTCTCACGTCCCGACGGCGGCGGCGGCCGCGGCGTACCTCGGTGGCCGGGGAACATCCCTGCGAGAGTCGAGGAGAACACACCGCGCTGGATGTGGCGGGGGCGCGGGGGAGCGCGGACGGAAACGCGGGAGTGAGCGGGGACATCGATGATTAGTAGTACAGTACTTGTTTTTGGCGTCATCGTTTGCTGGCGTTCTTAGGACTCGCGTTACAGGAGGAGCTCCCATCTGTCGCCCTCCTCTGAACGCGGACAATCATGCGGGCGCTCTTTTGGGGCTTGGGCTTGCTGCTATTCCCTCATTTAGTAGCTGCGGACGCGTCCGCGGAGACGCCGCCGTCGAGTCCAAGAACAGGCAAGTATTTCTACCCGCTCGGCCAACTTGATGACACGGCTATGTCAATGAATGAATGAATGAATGAATGAATGAATGAATGCGTTTCGGCGGCGCTTTGCGCGTGGCTGTTTCGACCGCGATGAATTTGTTGTTCTTCTTCTTCTTCTTTTTTTTGGCGGTGGCGGCGGGGGGCGGGGGGACATTCCACAACGTCGCGTCTCCATGTGCAGCGAAAGAGCAGATCGGCGCCTACGAGATCGCCACGCCGGTGCGAGTGGACGGCGCCGGCGACAAGTTCCCGAGCGGCGCGCACTTCAAGAGGAAACGGCGAAGTTTGGACGAGAAGAGCGACAACGCGACGCGGCACTGGGCCTCCCCGAACATCCACTACAGGATTTCTGCATTCGGACAGAACTATCACCTCAACCTCACGCCTGACTCGGGATTTATCGCCCCGCTCTATACCGTGACGATCCTCGGAGGAGATGACGCGACGGGCCGGGACGAGGGACCGCAGGAGGGCGACGAGGAGGAGGACACCGACTTGAGGCACTGCTTCTATAAAGGACAAGTCAATGCCAAATCAGAGCACGCCGCGGTCATCAGTTTGTGCTCCGGACTGGTGAGGCTTGGTTTCACCCCCCTTTTGTTTTCTTTTCGCACTTGACTTCTTGACACTTTGAGCCACGTCTTAAAGTCTGTCAGCTCTAACTTTCGGAAGCCATTTGCGCGACGCTAATCTCTCCGTCTCGAAAAGAGCGTCCGCACTCGAGTCGGTTATTTTCTGGGCTGATGTAAGAGCCCGGTGAGTGTCGAGCGGGTAAACGGCCGCGCGGCTGGGTCACGTTTTAAACGTCCGATGCCAAGTGGTGCCGGTCTGCTGCGCGTTTCCCGTCCCGGTGGTCACTGATGTGTTTCGCGTGCGCCGCTGCGGCGCGAGTATGCGCGGCTCTGACGTCACCGCCGCTCAGCACCACTCTCCCGGACTTTCAGACAAGTGCGGTTGAATTCATGCGCGGTGAACGAGACGAGGTCACCGATCGGCCAATTCTGTCCCGTATGCCTCCGAAAGAATTTCAAGCATTTGATGAGATCGGGTCGCTACCTTTCCTCACAGTTTTGTTATTCATTGCCAAAAGCTCCGGCGGCACATGATTTGAACGTGGAACGCCGCGAGTGGCCAAAACTATGGATTGTACGACACCGAGCTCACTCAAGGTATGGACGCAAATAACCTCTTGGGAAGGATGCCCGCTCGTGGGAAAAGCGAGTCCAAAGCACCCTGCCTTTTCATGTTCCTTCCCCATTGCTTTTTTTTTTTCCAGCCGAGGTACAGATTTTTACTCTGGAAACATCTGAAGACGCACCGCCAAACATTTGTCACAAAAAGTGGTGCTCAGGCCTATTGTCTGCCGTCTCATTGAAGAGCGTTTCATTGGTCTGCCTGTCACTATTTGGCGCTGAAATGGAGAGATGGATGGGTGACTAATAATGCGGTGCACATGAATCTGATTAAAACAAAACCACAAAACAGTTTCATTTCCCAACACTATTCAACAGCCGGACATGATTTCAAATCGACGGTGTCGTCAAACAAGCGTCGTCAAACAAGCGTTAGGTTTACTGCGCGGGCCTCGTCAGGAAACCGGCCAAAATGCCAATCATCGTTTTCCAGAGTAAAAGAAAAAAATTACATTTTGATTCAACACAAAGATAGCCAGTCTACTTTTATGGAGGTTGACGAAAATCTGAGAGTACTTATTGACGAGAGGTCGAAACTCCGAAGACTTGGATCTATCTTGCCTTTGGACACAATCTTGATATTCAATGAAATACCGCCCATGGTGCTACGAAGATGTTGGAGTGTAAACATTTGCCATCCGCTCACGACGTCGTACGACTGGACGGTGGCAATTTACCGCCATGTTTTCTTTTTCTTCAGTTTGGTACCTTCGGATCTCCGGAAGGGGAGTATTTTGTTGAGCCCCTTCACAGCTACCAAGGAGAACATTATGAAGAGGAACGCACAAAACCTCACATCGTGTACAGGAAGAGGGCGCCCCAGAAAGAGAAATTTGGCCAGAGCTCACCTTGCGACACTTCAGGTAAAGACATCGCTCCGACTTTGTGTGCATGGCACCCACTCTGACACATGGACGGTTGACTCACATGGAGTCAAGCGTGTGTGTGTGTGTGTGCGTGTGTGTGTTTGGTCACGTCAGATCTCAAAGTGAGATCCCACAGTGGTCAGCAGTTGCAACATTGCCAAAGTGGTCACCACCGCTTGGACCAGGAAATGATTCTAAAAGGCGATTGCCTTTTTCTAGCGATCGTAGCGCCATTCTAACTTGTGTCTGGCCGGGGCAGTGTTTTCCAACCTTGTTTGAGCATCGGAAAAAAAATTCACGGCACACCACTCAGCAAAACATTCACAACAAAAATTGGATCAACGGGTTCATGATGTACCATATGTGGGTGGCATCCATCAATTGATGCAACTTTGTTCTTCAGAGAAAAGAAAGCATTTTTGGTCCAAATAACTGGATAATTGACCGCGGCACACTCAATGATTTGTCATATGTATACATACATAGATATTTATATCTATATATCTACATATACCTGTATGTATATATATATATATATATATATATATATATATATATATATATATATATATGAATGTATATATATACATATATGTATGTATGCATATATAACTGATACATGGCAGTGCGCAAGCTTTCTTCGGCTCACGCAGGAAGCCTCATTTGGAAGTTCTCCCTTGTATCGTCTCATCTCAGTTTACTTTGTGCACTTCCTGTTGTCTCTAGGGCTTCCTCTCACTTGATGATAAGGAAGCCGGGTTGACCCACGACCGTGAACGCGCAGTGTCCATTTCGTGAAGACAAAAGCCACGCCAACTTGAAAGTGCCAAGTAATGGAAACCCGGACTCCTTTTACGTACCTTAAGACAAAAGTGCCGAAGCCCTCAGGCTGGCGCATTTGATGGCGATGAGGAGGATGGCACGTGAGCCTCGCTTCCATCCTCGAGTGGCCTGTTTGAGTGGTCGAGAATGCCGCCGGCCTAGCCAGGACACCCCTTATGCTGCATTAGCAACCTGGCACCTCAACACCTAAACGCGCAGACAATGCCGAATTCAAGACGTTATAACGGCAGCGATTGCGATTCGTGTTGAGCATTTCACGCCGTCGAGCCGCCCGGTTCAGTTTCATCAAAGCGAGCGGAGAATTCTGCAGTTCCGTTTCAAAAGCATTTCCCCGGCGGTTCTGCGAGCGTGAGGTTCCTCCCTTCTTGGAACTGGTCTTCTGCTGCCGCGTGCACTTCAGCTCGTGCTACTTTCTCCCTGGCCTTCCGCCAGGTTGACCTCACCTGAACGCTTTGCTCTCTTCCGAGAGAAAAAAACCAAAAGCACGCCAGGCGGCGCCGGGTGCAATTTGAGCTGCCGCGAAGAAAAGGGAAGGAGACAACAGCATATGCGGATCACGACCCGCAGCTTCAACTCCTGCATCTTTATTCCAGATGGCCTCATGGGCGTGACTGCCCCGCCGGCGCCTCCCTTATATTCACACGTTTCTCCTCTCTTCCGGCTGCTCTTTCTAGGACACAAACACAGGCACGAGAGGCACAAACCGAGGAAAAAGCCAGCCGCCGGGATGGCCTCGGACGCCGCGCGTGCTTCCGACGCCGCTGCAGCGCCGAGTGCCGTGGACTCGCTCGGTGGCCCCCTGACCGGCGACGCCTTGCGTAGATCGGAGAGCGGCCGCGGCGTGGGCGCGAGACCCGCAAACGAAAGCGGCGGAGATGACGCCAGAGCTCACAAGCGCTCCAAGCGCTTCCTCTCCTTCCCGCGCTTTGTCGAAGTCATGTTGGTGGCCGACAGCAAAATGGTGGAACATCACGGCGGCAACCTGCAGCACTACCTACTCACCCTCATGGCCATCGTAAGTCTGGCTCTTTCAATGTCGAAAGGACGCTTGCATGATCGCTCATCAAAACATTGCGGGCGCTTCATCATGACATCACGACTCTAGACTGAGACTTTCTTTTTAAACGGTGCCGTCGATGAATGCGGCTTCTTTCATCGTAGGCGGCTGGCTAAGGTCAAGGCCTTCCTTTATCAGCAGCACTTCGGTGCCTGTGTTCCATCTTGGCTCGATGACCTCAATGCATCTTATGTTGCCAAGTCAGCCAGTCCCCACCCTCAAGCGTCACCGGTCGGTCCAAAATGTTGTTGCTCACCTCCTAAACTGGAGCTCGTGAGAGGGAGCACATAACCCCAATCCTGGCTCCCCTTTACTGGCTCCCAGTCCATTTTAGAGTCCATCTTTTAAGATCCTACTCATTGTTTTCATATCTCGAAATGGCCTCGCCCCAACTATGCTCTCGGCGGCCATTTCCAACGACCTCCTCAAGTCACGCAAACTCTCTCGCACGCGCTCGAGTCCACGCGGCGCAAATACTCGCCGGTGAGCCGTCTCAGCTAAAGAGACGCTTTCTGTGTCTTTTTTGCAGGTGTCTTCGATCTACAAGGACCCCAGCATTGGCAACCTCATTAACATCGTGATTGTGAAGTTAGTCATCATCACCAACGAGCTGGTAAATAACATCCATCGAGTCCTCGAACGGACGGAGCATTTTCCGCATGTAATTCGCCTCTGTGTTTTTCCCTAGGAGGGTCCCCTTGTTTCATTTAACGCACAGACCACTTTGAAGAACTTTTGCATTTGGCAGCACGGTCAAAATGTCCTGGATGACAACCACCCCTCGCACCACGACACCGCCATCCTTATCACAAGGTGCTCTGCAAAATAGCACCTTTTGTTTTGATCATCACGACCATCGCTGTCGCCTTCGTAAGGATATGGCCTCATTTTCTCTTTTCATTGTCTCTACTTGTGCCACAGACAAGACATCTGTAGAGCAAGGGACAAGTGTGACACTTTAGGTAAGTCGCCACGGTATTTAAAAAATAGATCTCATATCAACTCCACACTCACTCAGGGATGAACAGGGACAAAACATCATCCGAGGAATATGCACCGACGGAGGTCGGGTGTCGGATTGTAGCCTGCGTGCGACGAAACCTTATCATTGACGAACGGGGTGGGGTACTGGTAATTGACCGCAAATATATTGGCCGAAATTTCCGACGGCCACCGCGGCCTACCTGGCATATCTGCGCATTTAACGAAATCCCACAGCAGAAAAAAAAAACCCCAACTTTCTTAACATCAGTTGAAGTTTAGAGAGGTCCACGACAGCCCCGTAAGCGCGCTCGACAAACGGGACTTTTTGCATTTTGCAGCAGTAGCAAATCTACTTGTATGTTGATTTCATAAACTTTGTAAGGGCGGGCGGGCTGGCGGGCAGGCGCATCCTGTGAGGGATGGAGTGTGCGGGTCGACCTCATGAAGTGACTGGCCCATCATCCCGCGACGCTGACCCGATCCCCTTCCCTTTCAGGACTGGCAGAGTTGGGCACCGTGTGCGATCCGTACCGGAGCTGCAGCATCAGCGAGGACAACGGCCTGAGCACAGCGTTCACCATCGCCCACGAGCTCGGCCACGTGTAAGTGCCGCACGCCAGCGGCCCGTTGGCAACGGTCGCCCTTCAAACTCTTTGCGGGAAGTCACGTGTCAACGAGGGGATCCGGGACACAACCGCTGGACGTCCTTTCGTCGTACTTTGCTTTCGTGTGCAACGGATCCCATTTCCCCATTTTTAACTCTGAGCACAAGCGATGACCTTTGGCCCCTCCACCCCTCCCTCCCCCCCGAGTCTCGGAGTCAGCCGGAGCGCGAGCCCGTTAGCCTACTATACCGGAGACTGTTACGGACCTCATCACGTTGAACAAATGCTCTTTCCGAGCGCTTACAAACGCCGGCATTGTCTAATTCCATTTTTATCCGCGTCAAGCGGTGACAACGTGCTCGGCAACAGCTTAGCAGTGTTACAAGGTACCTGTCGGGTGGGCCGTTGAGTAGCTCAAAGGGAGGGCGCCGAAGGGGGCGGGTGGGGGGTGGGGGCAGAACAGATTTACATCAGATTTATATCTTGATATGCTCCCCGGACAAGCGCTTGGATATATTGGGATTTTCCTGAGCAGCAGCTCTGCGACAGTCCCGGATACGCATCGAGCGCACAGTAGACGCCAAGCGGCCGCTCACAGGATTAAGACTGCTTACCCGGCTCCCTCAAAATCCGCCTTCTGGCTTCGCAAAGATCACATTCACTTTAGATTCGCGCGGACAGAGGAACGGATGTATTTGATGCAGCGTATTGTTGTTTTTCGACTGGGCCCTCATGAAAACGCGGTGCAATTCCACACCGCGAGCAGACAAACGAGTCATTGTCTAATTCCAAGTCCCGATTTCTGTCTGTGTTCTCTCTTCCAGGTTCAACATGCCTCATGACGACAGCAATAAATGTAAGGAGGATGGTGTCAAGATCCAGCAGCACGTGATGGCCCCCACACTGAACTACAACACAAATCCTTGGATGTGGTCCAAGTGTAGCAGGAAGTACATCACCGAGTTCCTCGAGTACGTCGCACTCGTTCCAAGTAGATTCAGATGGGTTGTGTTTTCCCTCTCATTTGGAGGAACCGCTAAACCAAACGAGAGTGGGCGGTCAAAAGTGGATGTGCCGTCTTTGGCGTGGCGTCGCTTTTCGTTTCGCGGCAGAGTCAACAACTAGTTGACCGGCGGCTAACCCGTCACTCATCCAAGTCTGCTGATCGGCTCCACTTTGGGGCTCAAAACTACAGAGTAGGTCAAAGGTGGCGGCTTGAGTCCGACGCGGTGCATTTAACACAAAGATGCCGATCGATTGATCGACTTGAGATCCGGAGACGGCGGGGGCGGTCGTTTTGCGCCATTTGCCCACCGGAACACAGACGCGCTTGACAACGCCTCGGCTCCTGTTGCGACCCAATTTCCTTCTTCAAACAAATACAAAAAGAAGAGGGAGCTCTTCAGGAAAAGTCAACAGATTCGTATATGGCAACTGTCCAAAAGCTCGGAGCCAACTCCCAGCCGGTCCAAGCTCGTGAATACGTCTCCCTTGCACGACTCCACTGACGGAGCGCAATCTCGTCAGATGTGCGTGAACGAGCACACGTGGTCTGTACATTTGCCACTTTTATTCAGATGCGCGTGAATGGGGAAAATGTTGTGCTGAATGTTATTTCGCCAAGTGGTTGCGCTAACTCAAACTGTAGCTGGATCCAGATGCTTTGATTTTGTGCAGCCGCATGACGGCATAAAATGGAGTCAATCCAACCAACATTTTTTGGGGGTGGCGGGGGCGGGGGGGGCTGTTTCTGTTTTCCCTTCTCCTTGAAGTTATTTCATTTTTGTTTGTGTTCATAGCACCGGCTATGGCGAGTGCTTGCTGGACGAGCCCGTCTCGAGGCCATACAGTCTCTCGCAGCAGCTGCCCGGACGGATTTACAATGTCAATAAACAGTGCGAATTGATATTTGGAGCGGGAACACAGGTGTGTCCTTATATGGTAAGTGGAGGCCAAAGCGCGACGCTGTCGACACGGCTCGTGTGGCCGGCTCTGCATGCTCCATTTGAAGCCCGCGTCGTCATTTGTTGGATAGCATCAGAGCGCTGTAATAGCGCACGAGACTTCTCTTCATCGGACGATGACGATTCAACGTATAATCATCATCAGATAGGCAGGGCATCTCGTTGCCTGATAGGCAACACGTTTTGCCCGCAAAACCACGCGTGCCATCTGGGTCAACACTTCCGAAATGTGCACGATGCAAACATAGGCTGGATGGACATCGGACCTTTTCATGAATGACTTGATAAGAAGAAGAAGAAAAAAAAAACCCAAAGTTCCGTTCCCTCTAAATCTGAATCCTGCTGCGCTCATGAATCCGCCCTGGAAAAAGACAACTGGCGAAGACGTCCTTTGCAAATGTGTGACGGAATCCTCGGTCTAACGTCCGATGTGTCTTTGTGCTCAGACCCAATGTCGAAGGCTGTGGTGCACCAGCCCAGAGGGCGCCCAGAGGGGCTGCAGGACGCAGCACATGCCGTGGGCCGACGGCACCGATTGCTCCCCGGGAAAGGTAAACGCCATCCGGCAACAACTCCATGACAGCGGGAGAAAGAAACATCCGTGCGTTCGCCATCCGAGCCGCTTCCCCTCGGGTGGCGGTCAAAGACCAGCGGAGCCTCCCGTTTGGCCTCTTGTTCCGAGAAAGCGATTCGTGTGTCCTTGTTTCTCTCGCTCTCACTTTGATGCTTCTTTCCTCCTGCCTGTTTCTTTTTCTTTTCCCGACTTGGGCCAAAACTGTTCCCCTTCTTCTCCTCATGCAGCACTGCAAGCACGGGCTGTGCATCGCCAAAGAGCACGACGCCGCACCCGTGGAGGGCGCCTGGGGAGTCTGGAGTCCTTTCGCGAGCTGTTCTCGGACGTGCGGCGGCGGCATCAAGATTGCGGAGCGCGAATGCAACCGGCCCGTGTGAGCGCTTCTCTTCCTAGTCACGCATGCCCGCCGGATCTCGTCTCCGTCTTAGAGGAGATGCCGAAAGTCGATGATCGAACGACACTCAGGGAATTCTCGCCCGACGCTTTCGCTGATGGCCAATTTTCAAAGGCGGCCTCCCGGGAAAGTGGCTTGACTCTTGCCTGCTGCTTTTGTTGAAGTTGTCGTGATTAAGAGGCGACTATTCAAAATTGACATTCGGTATTTGAATTTGAAGTTGACTTTTATGTGGTCTGCCGTAGGAGAAAGTGGTCTCGGAGGACAGACTATACATTCCAGTCATCTGCACACCCTCCACTGCCCTCATGTCCTCCCGCTTGTCTGTGGTGTTGAGCCAAAAATTAGTATCGATCAATGTAATCAAAACCGATGAGTACAAACGCACAGCAAGTTTCACCGACTCGACATCATGAAGTTTGCCTTTTTGTCAACTTTTTTTTTCATTTATGTTGAACGTTCGAGTGTACGATGCGTAAGCCTGACCCCGAACCACCAGGCCCTCAGTTCACCCTCAGGGGTTCAAGAGACGCTATTGGGTTTGTACTTGATGTGCCCCCACCAGGCCAAGGAATGGAGGCGCGTACTGCGTCGGTCGGCGGATGAAGTTCCGTTCCTGTAACTCGGAGCCGTGCTCCAAGCAGAAGAGGGACTTCAGGGAGGAGCAGTGCGCCGTTTTCGACGGCAGGCATTTCAACATCAACGGCCTACCTCCGAATGTTCGCTGGGTGCCCAAATACAGCGGCGGTGAGTCTTGCGCAATACCTCCCGGAACCCCGTCTTCATTTCGAAAGAACGATCTAAGACGGATCTGTCTCGCCTTTTGTTCCCGCGCGCAGTTCTGATGAAGGACAGATGTAAGCTGTTCTGCAGGGTTGCGGGCAGCACGGCCTACTATCAACTCAGGGACCGGGTCACCGACGGCACGCCGTGTGGACCCGACACCAACGACATCTGCGTCCAAGGCTTGTGCAGGGTGCGCCGCTCGCTCGACGCTTGCGCTTCGCAACATCATACAGTGAGCCGAGGAAGCCCAAGCCGCGTTGGGGTACGGGGGCCTC